GGGTAGGAACTGTCTTTTGCCTTTCTGGTATAATGCCTGGAACACAGTAGATGCTTAATAAATGTTTATTGACCCATGTAATGCTATGTGTTATGAACTGCATAAAATAGTTTCTGTTCTAGCATATAGAATATCTTCAAAGATATTATTACATACATATATCCTTCCTCAGATACCGAATAGCTATGTGACCGTGGGCAAGTCATCTAAACTTCGCCAGCCTCTATTTCATTTGTAAAATGGAATCGTTACCATCAAATGAGGTAATAGATGTGAAGGACTTTGAAAACCTTAGTTGTTGTTGTTCAATTGTTTCAGTCATGTCTCACTCTTCTTGACCCCATTTGGGGTTTTCTTGGCAGAGATACTAGAGTAGTTTGCCATTTCCTTCTCCAGCTCATTTTACAGATGAGGAAACTGAGGCAAACTGGGTCAAGTAACTTGCCCAGGGTCACACAGCTAGTAAGTATCTGAGGCCAGATTTGAACTCAGGAAGATGAGTCTTCCTGACTCCAGGTCAAGCACTCTATCCACTGTGCCACCTAGCTGCCCTGCAAACCTTAGAGCCCTTTAGAAATGCTAACTCATTATTATAGATGCTATATATAAGGTTTTTGTATATGTTATTACTAGTGGCGAGCAATTCTAATATGGATATCATTTATAAGATACCTGCGTATGTCTTGTTCTATGCAGTTGGGATTACTTATGATTATGTTATATGCTAAGTTAAGGTGCTTATGGTGCAAACTGGTAAATCATGCTCAGGTATACCCCATGTAATTTGTAGTGACTTTGTAATTTTCCCTAGGAAAAGATGTCACTGGTATGTGGCTGGAGACTTGCTGCTTCTTTTTTTTTTTTTCCTCATGGGCTTCACCAAGCAGAAGGTTTTGAGGCTACCTAATATGTGAGGTCTTTCCCAGGAGGTCATTCTAGGCAGGGGCATTTTTGAGGTGAAGTTATGGAGCAGTGGTACCAATGGAGGGAAGCTCTTTTCATATCCTGGCCTGCTTTTATACAAAGCAAAGGAATTTTCCATTCCACTAGCAGAGAAATCAGCAGGTTTGAGTAGACATGAGGATCCAAGTGGTCCAGGTCAGTCAAGGAGGATCTGCCTTCTGGCTTCCTTTAAATCTCAGCTAAAATCCCCACCTTTGGCAAGAAATTTTTCCCTGTTCTCCCTTAATGGTATTGCCTTCCCACTGAAATTATCCCCAATTTATTTTGTTTGTGCATCGTCTTTTATCTGTTTCTCCCTCTCAAAGGCAGGGAGTATTTTTACCTTTCTTTGCATTCCCAGCACTTAGTGTCTGGTATATAGTAGCTGCTTAACAAATGCTTTTTGACTTGACTTACGGACTGGGGAAGCCCAGTGTATGATTAGAGTTTGTACTACCATTAGAATAATGATTCCATTCAAATCAATAAGCATTTATTAAGCAGCTACCATAAGCTAGCCACTGTGCTAGGTACCATGGATTAAAAAAGAGAAAAAAAAAAAGAAACAGTATCTGCCCTCAGGATGCTTATATTCTACAGGGGAAGCAGAGTGATAATATGTAAATAACATTTTAAAACATGCAAAATAAAATTCAGAGTAATTGGTGGCAATATATAAATAAATTAAAAATATACAAAATTTTAAAAAAAGGTACCTGCCCTCAGGATGGTTACATTTTACAGGGAAAGGTGACAATATGTAAGTATGCAAAATAATATAATTATATATAATATAATTAATTAATTTAATAAAACTATATAGCAATATAAGTATATAAAATATGAAAAAATGCAAAGTAATTTGGGGGAACAATAACAACTGGGGGGTGTCAAGAAAGGCCTTTTATAGGAGATAGTATGTGGGCTGAGGCTTGAAGGGAGCTAAAGGTTAATGAACAAGGATTCTAGCACCAAGCAATGAAGAAAGCTTGAGTGTTTCAAAGCCAGTGTAAGTTAGGAAGTTTTCTTGAGTACATTAACTTTCTGTTTATCACATACAAGTAGCAGGAGCCAATGGCATTGAGGAATCTGGGTGGGGGCCAGATGTGGGAGCTTGTTCCTGATTTTGAGGTGCACAGGATTTGTGCTGACCATCCTTTTAATCAAATCTAATTAAACTGTTTTCTAAAGGAAAGCTTCTTTGTGCAGAGGCTATTGATTGACATCCTAGATAAATAGAGAAGGTGCAGTTAAGTAGTTGGCAGCATGAGCCTAGTGATTTGATCAGATTGATGTCATTTGACCCAGTCCCCTCTGTACTCATTTAAGGCAAAGTATGTAGCCAGTGGGCACCTGACAGGCAGTTGTCCTGTGGACCTAACTCAATAAAAGCAATGGCTCAGATGATGTTCACAGCACCCTCTGGTGGTCACATTTGAATAGTACAAAAGACATTCATTACAGAAATTCACCAAGAAGTTGACATTTTTCCTAAATGGAATCAGAGATGTGGGCCAGAGGATCCAGGATCAGCTAATAAGTACTGTTCTGCCTTTTTCTCAAGTAGGAAAAACCAAAACGGGATCAGGATAGAAGGCTGTAGGACCATTATATGAACACACTATCATTCAGAGCACAATGCCATTCCATTATAAACAGATTAGTAAGGGAGATAACAGCGCCAGATACCACCGAGATGGAAGTGAATCTCCTACTAGATTCTGGTACTAGAACAGGCACTTTGACCAGGTCTAGTAATTTTAGACTGAAAGGACCTGCCACTGTCATTGACATGACTATGCCTTTTGAGAACAGATACTCTCCTTTTAAATCAACCAAAGCTGATAAAATTGCAAAATCAAATAGTATGCCAGCATCTAGTATCTTTCTTCAAGAAGTAACTTAAGCACCACTGTCTACATTGTTCTTCCTAATTCCAACAGCTAGTGCCCTCCCTCCCAAAATATATTGTATTTAAAAACTTGGCATATGTAGTTAATTCTTTTTATGTTTTATATATATATGTATGTATACATATATGTATATGTGCATGTATATATGTACTTGTCTTCTCCATTAGAAGACATAATTTTCTTGTAAGTAGAGATTGTTTCTTTGTATTTGTATCCCCAGTGCCTAGCACAGTTCTTGGCACATAGGTGCTTAATAAATGATTCTTGATTGACATATGTGTGGACAGGCTCACCATTAGAAGGTTAGCAACAAGATGAATTTCTCTTTCATCTTATTAGAAGGTTGAAGAATTATTCATATTGATAAAATGATAGATCTTTTGAAGTACTGATGCGTTGGAAGTATAAAACTACATAGCACCTTGATTCTAGTGAAATTCTTGATAAAATGTGTCATACTTTTCTTATGTTGCCAACAGATGGATTCAAATATTGAATGGAAGGACTCAAACAATGGTCCTAATGGTTAATGTCAACTTGATATTACCTTGCAACTATACCCCTTGGTGGCCCTCTTATTATTAAATTATTATATTATTAAATTGTAAGCTCCTTGAGGGCAGGAACTGTCTTTTTTTTTATATCTCTCTCAGCCCAGTGCTTGGCACATAGTAGACACTTACAATGAATTGAAATGAAATTGAATTGAACATGGAGGGTCTCTAGTGTAGAGCTGGGCTTGACTCTATGCTGGTCACTATTTTTGTCAATGATTTGCACAAGTTTTCATATACTTGAAGCTGAGATGGATGGTTGACATACTGGATGACATTTCAGGGTTCAAAAAGAGCTTGACAAGCTAGAACTTGGTGCAAAAAAAATTTAATAAGGACAAATAAAAATAAAGCCTTATACTTAGGTTTTATAATTCAACTTTACAAGCACAGGAGGGGAGAGGTATGGTTAGAGAGCAGTTTGTAATAAAAAAATGTAAAAGATCTATGGGATTTTAGGAGATTGCAAGCTCAAAATGAGTCAACAGTATGATATGACATCCCCAAAATGAATATTATCTTGGACTGAATTCAGAAGTATGGCTTCTATGAATAAAGAGGATTTGATCATTTTGTTGGACTCTACTCTGGTCAGACTACATTTTCTAGTACAGGGTTCAGGTTCAGGTACCACAATTTAAGAAGAAGATTGGTAGCCTTGAGAATGTCCAAAAGAAGGCAACCAGGATGATGAAGAGGCTGGAATCTGTGCCATTGAGGACTGGTTGAAGGAACTGAGAATGTTTGGACTGGACAAGAGAAGACATAATCTTGAGTGGGGGTTGAGTGGCAGGGGTGGAGTAGCTTTCTTCAAACATTTGAAGAGACATTTGACTTTTTCTGTTCATCCCCAAGAGGGCAAAAACAGGAGTAAAGAATGGATCAGAGCCAAATAGTCTTGATGCAAGGGAAAACTTTTTCATAGTTACAACTATCCCAAAGTAGAATGGGCTGCCATATGAGGTCATGGGTTCCTTTCAAGCAGAAGACCAATTCTGGAGTCTATCATAGTAGAGAGTTTTGTAGAAATGGATCGGATAAGATGGTTGCTGAGGTCCCTCTCCCAACTCTAAGATTCTGTGATTTTTTAACGTATGTCTTTCTTTTGAAGGTGGGATGACTTAGGTGAGGAAATGAGCTAGGATAAAGAAGTTTATAGAATATACATATAGTCATAGTTTAACCTAGGAAAACATTTACTAAATTGCTTTAAGATAGAGTGTGAGGAAGGCAAAGAATGAAGTTTTTCTGGACTATGGGGAGCCATTAATTCTGAGTATAGTCTGTCTGGCTCAATACTCAAATAAGACTTATGATTTCATTGATTTGAATAGTTCCACCAAAGATACAGATTGCAACCCACCCATGCATGTGCCCATCCTGTGTGAGTATTGTCCATGTCTTCCCAAGTTTATCACAGAGGGCTCCATAGACTATAGAATGAGCAAGAGAAGAGAACATGGAGAATTTACTTTCTGCAGTCTGTTACCTCTTAGATTGAAAAGAAGAGATAGGTTTATCATCTCCCCTTGTAACACCTCAAATAACAATAAAAAAAGACACACATTTCAAAAATACACAGGGGATCAATTTCTTTCAAAATAAAGATAGTCATTTAGTTTCCTTTCGCCTCCACTGAAATCTCTCCAGGAGAGATCTGAAAGATGTCCGATGTACCTTGGCCTTCTCCCCTTCTTTGCTGTTGCTTCCCTCCTCAAAGGTTTTGTCTATGGATAGCTCTGGGTTTCTCGTGATGTCTTTCTTCCCTTGTGGGAGAGACTTGCCTAGTATGAAGTGAAACCACTTTGGTCTTGAAGGAACAGGGATTACTGAGTCTGAGTGAGATGATTCTGCACCTTCTGATGACTTTTTCAAATGGCTATGGGTGTTTGAGGTGCTGAAAAGGGAGGAGACTGTTGCTTGGGGGCATTTGAGGACAAATTTCACATCAATCTCCACCTCAGACGTGGGCATAGGTATTGGAATGGCTTGCAAATGAGCTTCACATGGATATTTCATCCCCTCATGTGGGCAACCAGCTGGGATCCAGGAGGCACAAATTAAACAGACTATATAATCGCATGGGCTGTATCTATGAAGACTCAGAGGCAGGAGAATCTGCTTACAGATGTCATTTTTTATTTTCTCCTGAGGGATGGAATTGATGATGGCATGAACAGTTCTGTCAGAGACAGTCCCCGCCTCGACGGTGTATGGTTTGATGTAATTTAAATGCAATTCCCTCTGTCTATTTTGCAATGTATGGAGCTGATATGGGAGCCCAGATTCAACCTCGTCTTGGTGGTCGGAGCTCAGCTCAGTCTCAGGCTGGTGGTCATGACCTGTAGGAGACTCAGTCTGGTGGTTGGAACTTGATGGTGATATGGTCTTGTCAGGGCTCGGAGGGACCGTTTCCTCATCATCCAAATTGTCTGGTGGCGTGCTTGGTGGCTTGGTGGGCTCTGTTCCAGTTTCAGCCTCATTTTCCAAGGTGGATGGAAGATGGACTGAGAGGTTAGGACTAGGTGGATTTTTGACCTGCTCTTGACCCTCAGACAATTTTGCTGAGTGTTCTCTATCTGTTGGAGATACAGCCTGGGTACTGAGATCTTCAGCAGCTTCTGACTGTCTGTCAGGACTGGATGGATGGGTTGTACAGTGGTCAGGGCTGGATAGAGTCATTTCCTCATGGTCTAAGCTTGATGGTGGTGTTACCCTTTGATCCTGGTCTCCTTGAATGTTGTCTTGAAGCTCAGTTCCTGGTGACATTGTGTCAGAGGGGACAGGTTCTGGCTGAAGTGACATCTGGGCACTTAGATCTGGTATATCCTCAGCCAGTGGAGGTGTGATCTGGGATTCGTGGACAAGTTGAGCTGGGTCTTCAGGGTCCAAGTCCACTGAAGTCGTTTCCTCATCATCCTGACCTGTTAGAATTGTGGTCTTTAGGTCTGTTCTGGGTGGTGTCATTTCCCCAGATTCTTGGCTTGTAACTAAATCTTGGGCAAGGTCGTGTGCTGTATCCTCAGTCTCTCGCTTCTGGTCCGGGCTGAGGGGTGGTATGGTCTGGTGGTCTGGCCCATGTAGATCATTTTCTTCATCATCATGGCCCAAGGAAAGAGTTGTTGCCCCTCTGTTGCTCCAGGGATCTTCGACTGTTTGGTTTGGTTCCTTGCGCTCTATTCTCACTGGCATTATGTCTATGATTTCAACTTTTTCTTGCTCTATTACATCTGAGATAGGATCAATGAGCACTGGAGTATTCTCAGTCTCTGACTCTGTGCTAAGTATTAATGTATCTTGGCGATTTGTTTCCTCTGACAATGTTGCCCATTGTTCTAATTTTTGTTGAAGTGTAGCCTGGACATCGGGATTTGATATATCCTCGGTCTGGTGGGAAGGGCTGGGCAGAGGCGTTGTTGTTTCCTCAGGGCTAAAAAGTATATTCTCCTGGCCATCCAAGTCCAGTGGTGGTGCTGTCTCATAAGCTTCATCTATTATTATTTCCTGGTGATCAAATATTCCCGGTAGAATTGTCAGTATTGTTTCCCAGTACTTTTGTTTTACTGGAACTGATTCATGGACAAAGGGTTCCGATATAGTCTTAGTGTCCAGATCGGGGCTGGATGGAAGTGTAGCCAGGTGATCTGTTTCCTGTGGCATTGTTTCCCATTGTTCTAGTTCTGGATGAAGTGTGATCAGGGCATTGGAGTCTGGCACATGCTCAGCCCAGGGGTCAGGGCTGAGTGGAGGTGTGGTCCACTGGCGAGGGCCACATAGAGTTACATTCTGAGGCCTTGAGCCCAGTACAGTTATCTCATCATCCTGGTCTGTTAGAGGGATCTCCTCCTGATCTGTCTCTGGGGTTGTTGTGTCCCAGGTGTCTGGCTCTGTTTGAATGGACACATGGACAGTAGGCTCTGGGGCCGTGTCAGTTTCTGTGTCAGTACTGGAGGGAAGTGTTTCCTGTAAGTCTGTTCTTGGGGATGTTGTGTCCCAGGTGTCTGGCCCTGTTTGGATGGACATATGGACAATGGGCTCTGGAGCTGTGTCAGTTTCTGTGTCAGTACTGGATGGAAGTGTTTCCTGTAAGTCTGTTCTTGGGGATGTTGCGTCCCAGGTATCTGGACCTGTTTTGATGGACATATGGACAGCGGGCTCTGGGGTTGTGTCCATTTCCAGGTCAGAACTGGATGGAGGTGTGTTCTGGATGTCTGTTCCTTGGGATATTGTTTCCCAGGAATCTTTGTCATTTTTAACTGGAGTGGAAGGCTCTGGTGGCGTAGCTGAAGGCTCTATATCAGGACTGGAAGGGCATGTATCCAGGAGGTACTTTCTCAGCAGCATAGCCTCCCAATTGTCTTGCTCTGCTTGAACTGAGACATGAGCAATAGGGCCTGGTGCACGTAGCAGGCAAGGATTGTATCTGCATACAGCTGTAGCCCTGTTTCTCTGATTCAGATGTGCTGTAGGTACAGCTAGGGGTCTAGGATGGTGGTCAAGGCATTGTAAAAAGGGCACTGCTTCTCTGGGCTGGAGATCACAATGTGATGCCTTCAGAGGTTGGGCCTGGACCCAGTAGTTTAGAACTGATGTTCTGAAATGTGGGGTCCTGGTCCAGAGGGTAAAAGGTAATGATTTTGCAAGTGGATGGAGTACAGGGTCCAAGCTGAAAAGTCCTAACAGTGCATTGGTAGCCTTGATCTGGCGCCTAGGTCTTGGCAAAACTCTGGCTTCCTGAATGGGGGTTCTTGTGAAAGGCCCATTGGTCTTGGCCTGGGTGTCAGAAAATATTCTGGCTATTGTAGCAGCCCTGGGCCTGTGGCCTTCACATAATGGAACCTCAGTCTGATGCTTAGAGAATGGTGGGATTGGGTTCTTTTGGTTGAGAAGTGTTAGATCCTCAATATCTGAATGATCGCAGGCTGGAAAAATCTTGGGAAGGTGGTCAGAGCCTGAAGGATTCTCTAACCGGTGGTTAGGATCTGAAGGAGAATCACGTTGGTGTTTGGGACCAAGAGGAGTCAAAGCCCCAGGAGTTTTTTTGGTTGTGATATCAGTCCTAGGTAAAGGCAAGACTGGAACCACTGTACGTTGCTTGTGAGGAGGGGATGGTTTAGCCAGATGATGAAGATGGGGCAATGGCACCACCATTGCTCTATTAAGTTGGGGCATCTTGGAAGTGATAGCTGAATGTTTGAACCATGGAGGAGGCTCTTGTATGTTCTTATGGCAATGACGTTGTGGTGGGTTAGGGGTACTAGAGGTTTGATTGAGGAGGGACACAAGGTCAGCCCTTGACTGGTATTCTTTTTCCCAGAATGGTGAAATCCGGTGTGGGGGACATGGTAACAGCACTGATGAGGCCTGGTGACAGAAGCTATTTTGAGGGAACTGGACCAATTCTGCTGATGAAGAAGATACTACATGAGTGAGAGTAGCCAAAAACTACCAATATATGCAACGTTTTGGGAAGAAGGAATATGGACCAAATGAATGGGCTTTTCTAAGCATAGTAACAACTAACATTTCTGTAAATATTTGGCGGTTTTAAAAATGTTTTTACATGTATTGCCTCCTTTGATTCAGAAGCTCACATGGTTTCTCAAGTAGATATCATTAACCCTATGTGATAGATGAAGAAGGATAATCTCCTATCTTACAGATGAGGCTAAATGAAGCACAGACAGTTAAGTGATTTGCCCAAAAGCTAGCAAAAAGATGGATGTCCAGGACTAAAATATAGGACACTGAAATTCAGAGATCTTAAAGTGACTTAGTCCAAGGTTACATGGGTAAGACCGGAACACAGATCTTCTGATTTTTAGGTGAATGTTATTTCTACTCACTATATCTTGTTGGTTCTCAGGATTTATAGACTCATGACAAGATGGATGAATACAACCAAAAATGGTAAAAAAAAAAAAAAGAGAGATGTGATGTTGGGGGGAGGGGATGGGCATTTGAGATCATTGAAAAACAAAGTTCTCACCTTTGGGAAATATTCTGTATCTTCTCCCCATTTGGCTACTAAAGGATTTCCTGAAGAGGGGAAATAATTTGTTAACACATATGTGGCAAGAACTCTGGCTCTAATGTCTTTTCTCCATCCCAATGGGCTTTGAAAAGTAACAGTCAAATAACTGGATGTCACAAAAACTGACCCTACCCCTACCCTGTCTGGGCCATTTCTTTTCTACCTGATTCCTCTTATCCTCATTCAACAGTCACTGCTAACCTATGGATGAATTATTATCTCCTTACCTTAGAATTAACTTCCTTAAAGAAGAAAAAGAAAAGCAAAGCCAGTGACTGTCTTTCAGGCCTCCCTTCTTCTCTATCCCTTTTTCTATTCCACACTCCACCTTGACTCCTAACATTGGTATATTTATGGATGTTCAGTTGTTTCAATCCAGTCTAACTCTTCATAACCTCATTTTGGGGTTTTCTTGGCAAAGATACTGGAGTGGTTTGCCAGCTCATTTTACAGATGAGAAAACTGAGGCAAAGAGGGTTAAGTGATTTGCTCAGGGTCATATAGCTAGTAAAGTGTCTGAGGCTGGATTTGAACTCAGGAAGATGAATTTTTCTGATTCCAAGCCCAGTGTTCTATTCACTGTGCCACCTAGCTGCTAACATTGGTAAAATCTATTCTAAAGAAAGGAACTGATGAAAGGAGAAATAGTAAAGTAGGAACAATATTTGTACATAACATCACTGATAAAAGTCTGATATCTAAAATTTTAAGAGGATTGACACATATATAGGGAATTGACCAATACAGCTTGGTGTACACACACACACACACACACACACACAGAGATATATGTATATATATACATATAAAATATGTATTTAAGTTATTAAATATTAAATACATATTTGTTACTAAAGCTTAAAATTACATAATGACTTTTCAGACACACTGTACACACATACATGTGACCTAATTCTCTCCCAGGCCATCTCCCTTGCACTAGCCACTATTTCCTCTTCTTCACATCTTGACCCCTTGGTGAACCAATTCAACTCTATCTTGTTCACCTCCAGGTTTTAGCCTTAGATCACCCCTACCCTTTGCCACCTTTGCTTCTACACACATGCTGCACAATGAAGGTAGAGAAAATCACACAGCCATTCTGATTGGGTCCAGTACAAATTTATGTTGCACAACTTCAACTGGGCCCTCACTGTTGATAGGTAATCCTACTATGCCTCTTTCGTCAACTCACTATCATACTCTTCACAGCAGCTCTTCCAAATTTTTTCATCCCTCCTCAAACCTGCCATAGCCCTCCTTCCCTCTCCTTACTATTTTAACTGAAATCCTCACCTCTTATTTTACAGAAAAATAATGAGGCCATTTAACCATGAACTCCATCTTCTCCCCACTTCTTCATTTCCTGTCACTCAGGTGCCTTCTGCCACATTTTCCTCCATTACTCCTGTCTTACATGATAAAGTAGATTTTCTCCTTACCAAGGCTAACCCCTCTATCTGTTCAAGTGGTCTCATTCCATCCCATCTCCTCCAACAGATTGCCCCTTCTGTCATCTCTACTCTTCCACTTATTTGCAATCACTCTCTTATCTCCTGGCTCATTCCCTACTGCCTGTAAACATGCCCAGGTTTCCCCTATCCTCAAAAAATTCTCACTTGATCTTTCCATCCCTGCTAACTATCATTCTACATCTCTTTTGCCTTTTGTAGTAGCTTCATTCCTGGAAAAGACTGTCTACTATAGGTGCCTCTACTTTATCTCCTCTCACTTAACCCCTTATAATCTGCCTTCTGACCTTATCATTCCACCATAATTGCTCTCGCCGAAGTTACCAATGAACTCCCAGTTGCTAAATCCAATGGCCTTTTCTTAAACCTCATTCTCCTTCTTGATACTCTCTTTCCAGGTATTCAGGGCACCATTTTCTCTTGGTTTTCCTCCTACCTACCTGACTACTCTTTCTCAGTCTCCTTTGCTGTTCTCTAACCACAGGTGTTCTTCAGGGCTCTATCCTGGGTCCTCTTCTCTTTACCCTCTGTATTATTACTTGGTGATCTCATCAGCTCCCATGGATTGAATTACCATCTCTACACTGATGATTCTCAAATCTACCAATCCTGCCCTAAACTCTCTGCTGACCTCCAATCTCCAACCACTTTTCAGACATCTCAAACTGGATGTCCAGTAGGCGTCTTAAACTCATTATGTCCAAAACAGAACTCATTACCTTTCCCCTAAACTCTCCTTGCCCTTCCACCCCCACCTTCCCTGTTACTATAGAGGGTAACACTGTCCTTCTCAGTCCCTCAGGTTCACAATCTAGGAGTCATCCTAGACTCTTCACTATCTCTCACTGCCCCCCCCTTCCAATGTGTAATGTGTTGCCAAGACCTGTTGATTTTACCTCTGCACCATCTCTTGAACACATTCACTTCTCCTCTCTGATACTGCCACCATTCTAGTGCAAGCCCTTATCATTTTCCTCCTGAACTATCACAATAGCCTGCTGGTGGGTCTGCCTGCCTCAAGTCTCTCCTCATCCCAATCCATTCTCCATTCAGCCTATGATGGAGCTATAAAGTGGTCAACTTGGCATTATTCAAGGAAAAGTGAGTAAAACTATCTCTTTGATCTGAAAATCCCACTAATGGGCATATTAATACCTCAAGTAAAAGAAACAAAAGGTCTGACATATGCCAAAATGTTCAGAGTGATTCTCTTTGTCATGCCAAAAAGTAAATGCCGATTGACTAGGGAATGACTGGAAAAAAAATGCAGTCTATGAATGTAACAGAATGCTATTAGACAAAGAAAACATGAATACGAGGAAATCAGAGGAATGTGGGAAGAAAATATATGTAAAATAAGCCTGAACAACAACAAAAAATAACATGTGTAATAACTACTACAACAGCCTACATGAAGACATCACCACAATGATGCTGAACTTTTGAATAATGGAAAAACTAATGAAGATCCTAGCAGACACTATGGGAATAAATCTGGAGAAGAACTGAGTAAATAGATCAGTCTGTTCCTCCTCCTGAGCTCCTCCTGAGAGCAGTATTGCCTGGGAAGCATGAAAAAGTAGATGTGCTTTTGTGGACATCTGTAGCAGGACTGCTCTGGTGGTTCTGACTCAACCCAGAGGGGCTTTTCCCTCACCTCTGCTCCATCCAACACACATCTGTCAAAATGATACTCTAAAGCACAGGGTATGATCATGTGACTCCTCTGTTCAGAAAGTCCTCCTGCATCTTCCTTTTTTGGTGGCCTGGCCCCCTTTGGTGGTCCTGTGAAGCTTATGGACCCCTTCTCAGAATAATGTCTTTAGGGGTAAAATAATGCATAGGATTACAAAAGAAACCAATTATATTGAAATGCAGCTATCAAAATATTGAAAAAAGCAAGCTCATAGGTCCCAGGATAATAATAAATCCTGACATATAATTTAAACTTCTTGAGGACAATATTTCACTTTTGCTTTGGGTTTGTTTGTATGTTTTTTGCTTTGTATCATAGCAAATACATGTTGAGTGTATTCCTTTCTGACACTTCTACCCCAAAATGCTTCCTTGACATTTGTAATATCTACCCTAGCAAGGAGCCTTCATATATACAACATTTATCATCAAAGCAAATCTTGGCTTATGGTGCCCTGGGACAACCTCTGGATAAAACAGGACTGCCCATGTAGGTCGGACATAAACTTCAACAGATTTTATCTTATGATTTCTGCTTAGCAATCTCTCAATAAACACTTACTTGAATGTCTTCACACAATCTCAGTGAGAATGAAAACAGAAAACATAATTATTAGAGCCGTCTTTGGGAGTTTGAGTTTATTTTGCTGTACCAAATCTCTCCTCCCCACCCTGAATCCCCACATGCCAAACCATTATCTTCTCAAGATACTTAAAGCTATTATTTCTATTTAAAGATATCATAGATGGTGATTTTTTTCAGGTAGAGGAAAGAATTACTTGGAAAACCATTGAAATCACTTTGGAATATCACAATCAGGATTAGGATCAATGACCTTGATTACTTCAGTTTAAAGCTGGAAAGGACATTAGAGGCCATTAAATTTATCTTTTTTTTTTTTTTGGTGAAGCAATTGGGGTTAAGTGACTTGCCCAGGGTCACACAGCTAGTAAGTGTTATGTGTCGGAGGCCAGATTCAAACTCAGGTCTTCCTGCCAGGGCTGGTACTCTATCCACAGCGCCATCTAGCTGCCCCGAGGCCATTAAATTAAGCCCTTCATTTTACAGATGAGGAAAGTGAGGCACAGAGAAGTTAATAGATTTGTTCAGTGTCGTTATTAAGTGTCTACTAAGAACCTAGATCTTCCTGACTCCCAGGCCAGTTAACTGTCTTATGTACTACACTACCCTGTCATTTTACAGATGAGGAAACTGTTAAGTGACTTGCCCAAGGTCCAGTCAGGATTTGAACCCGCCTGTTGTCCCCTTGACTTCAGAAAGTCAGGCAGCACCCTTTTCAATGCCTAATTCATCCTTTCCAAATCCTCCCAACTCTACAGAGCCTTGCATTTACTTCTCAGCAGCTTCTCTGCTGAGAGATCCACAGGGGCTCCCTGATCTAGGTTTGCCAAGCTGATAAACATGTCGTTTTCTCAGTTGAGCACAGATGGACCTTCAATCCTTTCCCATTTCCATTGTTGGCTACAAGAAAATTTTATCATTTTTACAGCTGAAAAAAAATTCATCCCAGCCCCCAGAGCAAGCGCCTAAGACCTCTTACCGATTAAGAACTTCAGGAAGGGCTAGAAACAGACTATGTCCTTTTTGAAGCTTTTGGTCCTTGGTGTTGACAAGCTTTCCCAAAAGAAGAAGGCAAACTACATCCCTCGATACAAAAATAGAGTGGCTAAAAGTATAATCAGTCAATTATATAGTGCTCTCTCCTAAGACGTCTGGGTCCTAGGATGCAGAGAAAGTGAGAGATACTTCCTCAGATACTTATAGCTAGACTGAGCCTTTAGGTACCTTTCTCCCAGGTAAGGGATCTGAGTTGTCCTTGACATCATAAAATACTAGTTGTCCTCTGTCCACTAGCAGTCAGAGTTGCCCCACCCATCTCTAAGAGACCTGTCAGTGAGGGATGTGCAGAGACAGGTATATAACTGGTTCACTGAATACAAGTTGCTCTATCTCAAAGCCGTACTAACAACTAAATTTCTTGTTGGTTCTAACCAACTGGCCATCCGTATCCTTCCCTCCCCGGACCTTTTCCACAGAGGGCTCAGTTTTTGTTGAGCATAAAATTCATAAGTTTTTGACTCCAGTCAGGGAGGCAGGGTGATATAGTAGATATAGTAGATAGATAGATATAGTAGATAGATGGTGATATAGTAGAAAGATTTCTTGATTTGGAGTCAGAGAAATCTGGGATAAAATCGTTCTTTTGTTCCTTGCTGCCTGTGTGACCTTGGGCAAGTTGCTTCCTCATCTCTAAAATGAGGGGTCTCTAAGGCCCATTCCAGCTCTAGATCTATCATACTTAGGCTGAGTGAATTTTGGAGCACCACTCTCTTCCTCTTCCCTCCCCCCCCCGGGGCAACATTTGTACCCAGATTATGGGTATTTAGGATAGAACACATATTCCTTGAAGCTTTTGGAGGTGTGTTAAATGCAAAAGAGAAAAAACTTTCCTTTTTTGGTTGAAAGCAGCGAACCCACACATCCATCTTGGGCTCTCTTGAACATAGAATGGGGCACAAATTAAGCAGTGCAGCAAAATCAGTTCCCTTCCTCCTGCCATAACCAACACTTTCTCCCAACATTCTCCTTCCTCCCCATTTGTGTGCCTTAAGCTTGATTTAGTCTTGCTAGAAAATCACCAGCTCACGCTGCCTCTTAATAGCAGAAGCATGGAAACCAATGACCCAAGGTCCTGGAGAATAATAGAGGGAAAAATAAGTGGTCTTTTGTTAGGGCCCTACAAATGCATCCCAACATCAGCAGCCCTTATAGATTTTTTGAGCTTTTTAGACCAAAGCTCATAAGCAAAGGGATTCTCCCATTAATGATCTTTCTAATAGCAAGAAAGAGAATGTTCAAGATTTTATGCATTCAAAAGAGTATTTATATATGCAGGGCTTTTCATCTGGTGTCTGTGCATTACAATTTTTTTGATAACTGTATTTTGATATAATTGGTTTCTTTTGTAATCCTATGCATTTTGTTTTATGCATTTAAAAACCACTGTCCCAAGAAGAGGTCTGTAGGCTTCCCCAGAATGCCAAAGTAGCCCATGACACAAGAAGGGGGAAGAACTGCTTTTATAGGGAGAGATAACATGGAGTCCTGCTGCTACAGGTGTCTGAGGGAACATATCTAGTGTTCTCTACCTCCCAGAGCACCAACCTCACTCACATTTTTCTGAAAAGACAACTTAAAAAAATTGTTTTATTATGAACTTCACAGACATCAGCAAACATGAACATTTCCATATACAAAGAACAGAAAAAGAGGATTGTATATGAAATTCTGACTCTCTTACAGACTACTTGGTTTTTAAAAAGCATATATTAAATTTAATATGATAGTACCAATGCTAAACCATTTGTGTACACAGCTTAACTTCCTTCAGCTCTCTTCTGTGTTTTTTAATGTTTCATTCACACTCTTTCCCTCCTTCCTTCCTTTTTTCTTTTTCACTATTACAACTTCTTCCTTCCTTTCTTCTCTTCTTCCCTTTCCCCTTTTTTTCCTTCCTTCCTTTTTTCTTTCCTTTTTACTCTCACAACTCTCCATTTCCCCTTCCCTATAATTCTTCTGCCCCTCAAATAAGTGCTTTTTGTAACAACTAATGTAGTCAAGGAAAAAAAAATCAACACATAGTTTGTATTTGAAAAATGCCTATTTTTTTGTGCACTTATAGTACATTACCTCTCAATCTGCTTTATAATCAGTCTTTTGGAGTTATGGTTCATTGATCAAAATTCTTAAGGCTTTCAGAATCACTTTTCTTTTCATTACTGAGTTTCTTTCAGTTGTTTCATTTCTATTGGAGATTTATTTTCTCTCAGATCCTTCACCAAGTAGGGAAACCTTGAGCCACTGAAACCACTTGAAATCAAACTTTTCCAAGGTCCTCATCTGGGAACTTTTTAAATGCCCTAGATCCTTCTCTTGTATTTTTATACCTCCTGCTGGTGAGAAGCACTGTGGGATGGGGGTTCCCTGATGGTATAATCCAAGATTGTTCACTATGTGAGAGAAGGGAAGAAAAACAGACATTAGAAGTGGTCTGGGTGATCATGTAAACGAATTAATTTTTTTGGTTCTCATTTTACAGTAATTCAGCTTGTTTCTAGTTTCCTGAAGGATCGTCACCTGATGTCTCATTCTTGAAATAAAATGTTTTTGGTTCCAAATGAATGAAGAATCAAGGAACATACAAAAGAACTCTTTGTCATGGTTGGGAACGACTTTGCAGTTCAAGTCTAGGACTGCAGGATCATTTTATAAAATCAAAGAACGTTGGAGCTGGTTTGGGACAATTTGTTTCTTAGGGAGGCTGAAAGAAGTCTGCTCTCAACTAAGAAAATACCACTCCAAATCACAAAGTATATATATAATTCCTTTCTGAGAGCTTCATCTTTTTAGCTTAAAGTTTTTATTTTTGTTAAAGTGCCCTCTAAGAGATAGCTCTATTAGTCAATTAATAAACATTTACTAAGTGCCTACTATGTGCTAGGTACTGCACAAGAAGTGGGATTACAAAAGAGGCACAAGATAGTCCCTGCCCTCAAGGAGCTTACCATCTAATAGGGAAGTCAAAATACAAACAAATATATACAAAGCAAGCCATATACAAGATAAATAGGAAATAATGAACAGAGGGGATGGCACTAAAATTAAGATGGGTTTGGAAAGGTTCCCAGTAAAAGATGGGATTTCAGTTAAGATTTAAAGGAAGCCAGGGAGGTCAGTTGGCAGAACAGAGGAGAGAGAGTGTTCCAAATGTGGGGGACAACCAGAGAAAATGCCCAGAGCTGAGAGACAGAATGTGGTTTTTTTAAATTGTTGAATCAGAGAAACTTTTATTAACGGCCTAGCAGAACTGGGTGTTCCACGCAAGGGCACACACGTGTAAGACAGATACACAGGTTTTTATTCCCTATTCCCAGTTCCTGATTGGAATTTCCCTCCCCTGTTTTCCCATTGGCTGTGTATTGTATCAGAAGCAACTAATTCCCCCGGTGAGTCTCTACCCTTCATTATATCTCCTACTCCCCACATTTCTTTATTCCTTATTTGGTCATAGTTCCTCCTAGCTGTAAGCTTGTATGTTGGACCTCAAACCCAGTTTAAACTGATGTTAATGCCCTCTGGTGTGCTGTCATGTAGGCGTCCACACCCTGATGAGAGATAAGCAGAAGCAACATTCCCAACCACATTTTCTACAATCCCTGCTTTTCCTTTTGTTTACTTTTTGTTGTACCTGCATCTTAATTCATTATGTTATATGGAGATTCTAGTTTTGATAACATTATTTGTCATACTTAGAGTTCACCTCAGTCTCTTCGTTTAGCAGGACCAATTACACAAGGTATTATGCAACAGCCTACAGATGTCAATACCCCAGCAACTACTACCAAGATAGAGACTGCCATTCCCTTCCACTTGCCAAACCATGATTCCAACCATCCTGTTAATGAATTATCTATCCCAGAATTCTCTGCCAATTCTTCAGAACAATAAATAGTCCATTTAAAACATCTCATGCAGCTATGTGGTTGGTGTTCTGGACATCATCTGGTGACATTTTCTGGTCTAAGTGCTATTCAAGCAGTGCCCAGCAGACTGTCTTCTTGTAGAGATCCTCCACTCTCCTACAAGACTGATCTTAACACAATTTTAAATTACCTTGCCAATAACCATATCAAATAATGAAAGTTAACTCAACCCTCATGTCTTTATTATTATATATTCTTATTTATATTCCCCCATCAGGAAGATGAGATTTCACTAAGGAATTAATAACAGACTCCAGTACATACATAAATACATTGAGTAATCAATTTTAAAACAGTACATATCAAGTAATGAAACAATTCCAACTTTTGGTCATTTACAAATAAATAACCCTTAATTAAAGTGGATGCTTCTTTCAAGGCATTTACAAGATGGACCACAAGTCATTCTTCTTTTAACATTAACTAATTATAACAAACTGAGACAACCCTGATATTAACTAAGTAACAGAATAGTATCCTGGTTTCATAAGCTCTTGGCCTAATTATCCCTATACCATTATGAGGAATTAAAGGACCCTAACTTATAGGTCAAAGCTGAATACTTAATTCTAAAATTCTAGGCCAAATAGCTCAATCTTATACTTGCATCTTACTATAATAACCTCAGATGTTCCAGCATCAATCTATTATTTAATAGATTTGATAGTGTGCTTAGAAAACTTATGATTAGAGAAATTTGCCATGAAAGAATAAGGACATAAGTACAGTGAGATGGAATGTTTTGTTAGTGAAACGGCTAGGAGGCTGGTGTCACTGGGAAGAAGACTGGAAAGGTAGGAGATGTCTAGGCCATATAGGACTTTGAATGCTAGAGGCAATAGGAAGTTGAGTGTGTGTGTGTGTGTGTGTGTGTTTATATGTGTGTGTGTGTGTGTGTGTGAGAGAGAGAGAGAGAGAGAGAGAGAGAGAGAGAGAGAGAGAGGGAGAGAGAGAGAGAGAGGGAGAGAGAGGAGAGAGGAGAGAGGAGAGAGAGAGAGGATTAGACACGAACTTTAGGAAAATCACTTAAGTGGCCAAATGGAGGATAGATTAGAGTGAGGAGAGACTTGAGGCAGGTAGAACCTCTCCCCACTCCTACCCACCAAACAGGCTATTTCAATAATTCAGGTGTGAGGTGATGAAGGTCTGCATTAGAGTACATGTGGTGTCAAAGGAGAGAAGGTGTCATATTTGAGACATGGTGCAGAGGTGGAAATCAGCAGGCCTTGGTAACAGCTTGGATATGGGGAGTGAGAGATAGTGAGGAGTTCAGGACGACACCTCCGTTGGGAGCCTAAGTGACTGCGAAAATGGTGTTGCCCTTTGCAGTAATAGAGATGTCATTAAACCTCTTTAAAAATGAAGGACAAACAACAACAACAATAGGGAAGATAGACAGTGGGGAGAGTTTAGGGGAAAAGATAATGAGTTCTGTTTTGCATATATTGAACATTAGATGTCTACTGGACATCTGAGAGATCTGAAAGGCTGTTGCAGATATAAGATTGGAGGTGAGGAGAGAGTTTGGGGCAAGAAAGGTAGAGCTGAGAATCATCAGCATAGAGATGGTAATTTAATCTGTGGAAGCTGGTGAGATCACTGAGTGAAGTAGTATAGAGCAAGGCCTCTTGAACTTTTTCCACTCACAACTCCTTTTTGCCCAAGAAATTTTTACATGACTCTGGGGTATATAGGTATACAAGTCAAACATTTACCGATAATAAATCATAAAGAAATTTATTTTAAAATAATTCTTTGGTATACATACCATTTTACCATTTATTAAAGATGAAAGCAAATTTGCAAACTGATGAGATAGAAGTGAATATTTATTTTTACATAAAGAATTAAATCTTGGTGGAATATTTGATACTGCAGGATGTAGAGCATCTTCAATGTTTTTCAGAGTTGATTGATATTTTGATTTCATAATTGTCAATGCTGAGAATACCGTTTCACATAAATACATAGTACAAAGTGGCAGAAGTATAAGGTCATTTCAGAAATTGTTGGAAATTTTGCCCTAATCCCAAATTAAAATTTCTTCAATGATTTTTTTAGGAAACTCAAAGTTTAAACCTGTCTCACTTGACAACTTGGCAAATTCTTGAATTTTTAATGGCAGGTAACTGATTTTTTTGATTTAAATTGAGTATGGTTTATGAACTCAACTGTTTTTTTAAGAATCAAAATTTGAAGGGAAGTACTTCTGAAACTATGTGTCCAGGTACTTCAGATGATCAATTATAACTCTTACAATTAAATCTTTGGGAAGGTTATTTTCAATTGTAAAATCATCTGCAGCTGTAAACATTTCCGAAGAACCATTTTCCACCCTATTCTTCCCTATGTCAATGCTTTTAGTAAAACTTTCAATTTTATCTTTTAATGTAAATATGTTACAATTTTTTTCCTTAAAGCAACATGTTTAAACCATTGAGTTTTTCAAAAATATCCAAAGATTTAAAAGTCATGTCATTATGAAAAAAATTAGCAAAATCAGATTTCTGCTCAGTCAAAAATGTAACAACTTCTGTTTAAACTTTACCCTCTTGAGAGCAACATGATTCTACATATTTTCTTTTTCTTGTCAATTTAGTGTACTATAATCTGGTAGCAAAGACTTTGCCACATTGTCATCAGTATTTTTACTTCTTCTATCTAAATTTAACTTTTGTCCTAAAACATACATAAAAATTGCTAATAATTTCTCAAATAAATACTAGCTTTGGTTTATAAAATTACATTTATTTGTGATTTATTTATTTGTGATTAATTTTAAAAATTGATGTTCACACTTACATACACACATAGCAGTGATAATGGAGAAATATTATTAAAGGGCTTTTGCCTTACTTGCTGCAATTAAACACTTATGTTTCTGTAAAAGAAGGAGGTAACAACGATTTTTAAAATTAAACATTCTAACACAATACAATCCAAAGATATACTAATTTGATACTTACATGCTGAGGAATGATGGTAGGAAAATTATTAAAAGTTTTTATTTTCCATAATTAAACTATTATGTTTCTGTAAGAGCAGAAAACTTTGTACAGTGAAAACACTGTAATCCATAACATACAATAGTCTTGAATCTGAGCCGAGATGTTTCTGGCAGTATTCGTTGGCACTGCATAACATGATAGCACGCACAGTGCACATGTGTGTTCAGAACCAAGGCTATAGTGAAGTCGAGCAATGCAACACAGGCAAGCAGTGCCATAAACACATGCAATTCATTTTGGGTCGTTGCATGTTCAGAAACATTTTACTGTTGCCAAATTTTTCATGACCTCCACGTTCAGTTATGCAACCCACATGGGGTTGCGACCCACAGACCTACCAGAAGAGCTGGTCTACTGGAACTGGGAGGCTAATTGATTTGCCCACAGCCATATTGCTTTTATGTGTCAGAAGGAGGATTTGAACTCACACCAATGTCTTCAAGAAAGGCAGCTCTCTAT